ATAAATAAACAAACAAACAAACAAACTTATTTGAAACAGTTAATAGGCAATTAGAAGATAGTTAGAAAGGGAAATGTATGAACCTAGTGTCTTAAAAAAGGCTCCGTTTGCGACTTGAGCAATTGTGGTGAATTCCCCCATCTCCAGATTTCCTCCCCTACCTGAGATCACTTGTGTTGTGGTCTCTTGGTGAGGAAAAGGAAGAGTTTTAAGGAGAGCAGCTTGGACAATCTCACCATCTCTCTCTTTTATCCAGAGAGGATCATAGGAGCCGATATGTTAATCGGCTCCTTGTTAAAGTCTGCAGACACCATCTTGCCCAGGAAGTCACCACCTTTAATTTTTTCAAAAGAAAGCTTGTAAAGTATGACTCATTCTGGTGGTAAGGAAATGTTCCCTTTGCTGAAATTCTTAAGAAGCACAGATCCTCATGTTTACAAGCTAAGGAGTGAACATTAGGCAGGTGATTCAGACATATTCAGACAACCAGTTTGAATTAATAACTCATTACAACCAGAACCTAAGACAGTATGTTCTATGTAGAGGCACAGTATAACATTTTTCTGTGTTTCTCAACAGCTACTATGTATACCACTGGTACCATGGTAACATTCAGAACAATCTGGGGAAGAAGGGGACAGACCTGAAACTGACTTTTACAAATATACTGTATGCACGGGGGAGAGAGGGGAGAACAGGCAAAGTAGTCTTTCCCAAAATGCAGAGAGGCAGGCTGGCTTGTGGGTCATAGACACTGCATGAGGAACATGAGTTGGGCTTCCCTGCTGTAGTTTTTGGGGAAGATGCTCTGCCCCACAACCTTGTTTTGATACATACTGGAGAAAGCTGAGTACTGGACAGTGGTAAGGACTTGCAACTGGCTGGCAGGACAGAGAGAGTGTAGTCCAGCATTTTCATAGATGTTAGGTTAGGACTGCATAGAGATTTTCTTTTGACAGAGGTGCCAGTCAGTAAAATGTAACTACAGGCTTCTCACTAATAATTATGAATTATTATCATGCATTTTCTGGTAATGAAATTATATAATTTATTTATATTTATTTATTTGTCAAATTTATATGGCCGCTCATCTCTGTGACTCTGCGCAGTGTACAATAAAACCAAGAATTCAAACATTTTGCAAACACATTAAAACAATATACATGGATAAAACAAACCACAAGAGGGAAGATGTTTACATACAGTATAACCAGCGGGCAGGCTCCCTATTACCAGGGGATTCCCAGGCTTTCTGAAAAAACATGTTTTGAGAGCTTCATGGAAGACTGTATGGGTTGGGACTCATCTCACCTCAGGAGGGATGATGTTCCAGAGGGTGGGTGCCATGGCAGAAAAGGCTCACCTCCTAGGTCCCATCAGATAGAACTCTTTTGCGGACTGGACCCACAGAATGCCTCTCCTGTCAGACCTGTGGGGATGGGTAGATGTAATAGGGAAGAGGCGGTCCCTCAGATAACCTGGCCCCATGCCACACAGGACTGAAAAGATCAAAAACAGCACCTTGACTTGGACTTGGAAGCAAACTGGCAACCAATGCCGTTCACGTATCTTTCTTTTGCGGATAAAGCAGTAAAAACGGTCAATGGCATTACTATAATTTTTATGTAATATATATAACAAGAGAATGCAATAAACCTAATTTTCTGCCTTGGGGAAAGTAGATTTTGTTTCAATTTTGGTGGACCCCAGGTTCTCTGATGGGGTAATTGGATGGACTTAAGAAATGAAAAATTACTGTTCTAGGCCAAATTCCAAAACAAACAAAAAAAGGGGGGGGGAATATATCTACTGATATGCCATTACATGAGTTATTTTGGAAAAAAATTCAGTTCCGTTTCCCTCTCCTCCTAGAGTCTATAGAACTTCTATAATGAAATTTCATATTTAACATATAGCAGGCATTATCTTATTTACTATAAATGATGCGTAAGTGTAAACCAGTTATATTTAGCTTTTATGTTTATATTTTGAGGTGAAAAACTTAAATCTTTGACAAATTTCTGCTAGTTACTTCCAAAAAATATAGTATATGTAGTATACCATATCATTATTCCATATTCTTCTGGAAAGAACATTCCTCATGAGGAAATATGAATCAATTCTAAATACAGGCGAAACACTGTTTTTGCAGACATTAGGTTTCATATTGAGTTGTAAATTATCCACAGGGGGAAAAAAGCAAATCATCTTATATGTATAAATATTTATTATCAATTTCAAGACTTCATTTGCTAGAAAGTTTACAGACCTGCCAATTCCAAATGGTTTCCACACTGAAACAATTGTTTCTGCTCTTCTGTGCCCGGTTTGCCTGTTAAAAGATGCTAAATCTGCAATCTCTGTCATCAGGATTAGCCCCCTTTCATAAAAAGTAATCACCAGAGAACCAGTTACAAAGATTGATACAAATGTTGAAAAAATGGTGCTGTGAAAAAAGTGCCTCAGATTCACTACATGCTTTGCAGTTAACTTATAAATTGCTTCTATATGCAAGATGAGATCTTATTACATTTGGTGTAAAACATTTATACACATTCTTTACAATTTGTACATTTATTTCAGTGGCTATATAACACTTTATAGAATTTTAGAAGGCAACTAAATTAAAAATAAAACAAGTGTGTGGAAAAAAGTATCACTGAAAACATAACAAAGAGCAGCATTTGAGCCAAGATTACATTCCAATTTGGTTTGGTTTGGCTTGATAGGCATATTAACTTGACAGACCCAAATTCTTCATTGATCTCAGAGTTACTGGAACAGAATAAATGACAATGCCATATAAGACAATTAAACTTTCAGAATGCATATATCATTTGTTTGATGAAAAAAGCAAAGTTGTTTACTTCTCAATCAAAAATTAAATAGAAAGCTACATTTAGTTCAATGGCTTGTTTAGGAATATGTCTATGCAATCAATTTTCTACAGTTCAGGATTGTGTGACCCATAATCCATATATAAATTGATACTTATGAACTGAACCTAACATTGCAAGCAAAGACCCGTTCGTAAGTAGCTGTTGTTCTGATAATCCTAATCTGTATTTTAAATCTGAAAAAATGACTTAATTTTCCTCATGAAGCAGGATAAGATCAAATCATGTTATGACAGAAAAACCCAACATACAGCAATGAGCTTAGAAAATTTCCTATCATGTTGGTTATGACTGGATATGAGCCACTAAATATACTGCACATTTAGGGATATAAAAGGAAAAAAAAACCCTGATATATAACATTGACTATTGTTAAGAAGTGTGTGTGGTTTCAACCACTGGAAGGAACAGAATTTTCCAGATGTTCAGAATGCCAGTATCTACTGTATATACCCAGGAAGGGAAGTAATACAGCCTTACATGGCATCTGAGGTACAAGAACAGCCCTTAAGGATGTTTACTCCATATAAACATACTTATTTCAGAAAATGGATGTTATGGCTATAGTAGAAATGGGATGAATCTTTCCTCTCCGTAGAACTTATCTGAATGCTGGAAAGTAGTTTAACAATTATATATCTATAGATCCTATATTGGCGTTCTTATCCTTTTAAGATTTGATCATGTTATGGTTTTGAAGAGTTTAGGATGCTAACATGGGCAGGGTAGTTAAACTCAAAAAACATTTGGATGGCCATGTTTCCCCATCCCTGGTTTAGGAAAATGTGTCCTTTTTTTTAGTATCTGGCCACAAACTGTTTGACAATTTGAAGCCTCATCAAACACAGCACTTTCCAGATTCATTTCAACAACAGCTAGGAAAGGAAAGTATTTAGGGTAAAAAATAATCATAAATATCCAAGGCATTAAGGCTAGCAAAGTAAACATCTGAAGTTTTTTTCTTCTTTTTTAGGTTCATTTTTAAAAATTAATTATCTTTAAAAAAGGCTTTTTGGATGGCAAAGTTTTCCACTTCTTTTATTTGCACTTCCCCCACCAAAAATCAAAAAAGCACTTTGGAGTTTTTGTTCTTCTTCGTCTGCCTTTAGCTACATCACAGGAAAGCGACTGAGAGCCTGCCTCAGCTTCTGTGCAATCTGAAACACACAAGAGAGTGTAAAAAGTATGACCCTGCAATGCCCTCAGGATTCCCCCATCATCAGCCTGCTTTTAAAGATCACAGGAGAAAGAATTTTAAGCAATTTGCTCCTCTGGTATGAAAAAGACATATGAGAAGTAGGTAAATTCAAACAATAATTCTAAGAATGTGATTATTCAGAAGCATATTCTAGTACACTTAATGACTGTGATACTAACTTCCATGACATGTGCTATATTCTACAAAAAAAATAAACATGGGTAAATTTCATATAATATATATTCTTCAAAAGCAGCTTGCAAACAAATTTGTCTAATTTATTTCAAAGATGAAGCAGCAGATAATAGATCTATGGCAAAAATGGCAATTCATTCCAAGCAGGTCATTTAAAAACCTGACTGATAACAACAATGCATACATGGAAATATTAATCTCCAGCTACCAATATTATTCAGGTCCATTTATATTAATTTATAAATATATATTCATATAAAGAAATACATATCAATAAATATATATTCATCAAATATGGGTAGTAGCATCTGGACAGGACTTAGATGCAACTGAAGCTAAATTTCCTCTGCCCCCTTGGTTTGAGGTTCAGGAGGAATTGTGGGAATATTAGATGAACATAAAAATAGCATGTTCATTTTCCAAGGTAACTCTGGCAGAGGGGGAGGTGAAATTACAGAGAATTAAGTAGAATAACTGCACACATCTTAACCATTCCTCTTTCTCTGAGAGGAATGAAAGAATTGCTAATGAGTTGCCAAGTTTAATTCAATGTGCATCCTAGCCAAAAAGAAAGTGCCAGCTGCAAAATCTCATGCAAAATGTGCAATACAGGAAGGATTAGCAGTGCCAAGTAGCATTTTCTAAAGAAACAAAGGGGAAATAATTATTTTAAAAACCTACATTTTTAAAATAAACATTTTCACTACAAGTGATTTATGAAATAATGGATAAAATCATAAATATTCACTTAGTTTCTATTTAAATGGTTCAAGCATGTGAAATAAAATTGGAGCATAAAGACTTCACTCTGTTTAGAAGAACGAGTAGCCATGTAGCTGACAGACATAAAAAGAGCACTACACATGCTGCAGCTTACCGTCTCATAGAACTGTGCCTGCTGTTCGAGGTACAAGCGCATCACGGTATTGTAATCGTAAATTCGATTACTGTGAAAGTGATTCATCTCCGCTGTAAATGGAAGCCAGGTTATATATTACATTCTGACAGAGAAAAAACTGAATTTTATTCATTATTTAGGCATTTTGTCAAAAGATACTGTAGTGCCAGTGCGAGCAATCCTTTCTTTGGTCATGGTCTATATGGTGCTTTATTTTTAATTGTTCAGGCTCCAAGAACCACAGAAGACATTGCTGTGATGCTGCTAGCTGGGCTGAAGCTTTACCTTGTAATGCGTAAGACATAGTGCTTGCACGTGTCAGCATGTTTTGTTTATCTTGGGGGGTAATTTTGCTGGTAGCAATCAGTTTATCGCTTTCCTTCACTTTTTCTATTGCTCCCTGTTAAGAAAAATATCCCATGAGCCGTCACTGAAATTTTTTTTCAAATGCTACAGTAATATAATTCCGTCCCCGAGTAGTTTCAAAAATAACAGTTCATTCAAACTGCCAAAACCTGGTATTAAGCATGACCACTAATGACACTGAAGTATTGTCAGATACCATGTGCAGGCAGCCATAAAGGATAAACAAAACTACAGTAACATATTGTACTAACAACATATATCTATGTCTATATGAAATATGTACCATCTATCATCCATCCAACCTATCTCATCGTACCCTAACTGCCCCAGCTCTTTCTTAACAGTTAACTAAAATGAGATCAATTTCCTGGATATGAATGGACAATGTTTCTTTCTAAAAAGGAGGAACAAATGCTAAACCTTCCCAAATTCCATCATTATTCTTAGATAAGCTGGAAAGTGTTTTGAAATACATCTGCTGAAGATAAGATTGTTTGCTGTAATAATGGATCCGTTTTCTCATTTCTCATTGTGAGAACTACACACTGCATGCCTTTTGCTTAATTCCCAGTTAACAGGCTTGTCAGGTATTGGCAAATGATCAACTAGATGCTTATTTCATTATCAGGTTATATATAATACTAAGTCATAATATGATCCTGTTACTTTTTATTGTTCTAAAATGTTCTTTCTTTTCTTATCCTAAGAAAGAAAACTAAGGTCATTCTAGGGCATTCCAGTGCATTTAAAATTGTATTACGTTTTATAAAAATTAACCAAAGCAGCCTTTCCTGTAATTTGAATGCCCTCTACACTAATATTTGACAAAGTTTTTTTTTCTTTTTTGAATGGGTTTAATGCAGCCAGTTTCCATTTCTTGTAAAAGAAATGAAGAGAAAAATTCCATTTTCAGTAGTGATGACATTAAAAATATCAGTACAAAGAAGCATTAATAAAAATACTTCTGATAAACTGATTCTGAACTGAATGGTATCATACTGAGAGCCTTTAAAACTTTTCCTGATACTAAAATAACTAGCATTCACTCTTAGAAAACCCATACTGCACAGTCTCTCACCTTATGAGCACCTATGATATCTGGAAAGCAACCAAGAAATCCTTTGTATTCATGATTGGTTTCCATCAGAAAATGAAGATCCTTCTTTGGCTAATAAAGAAAGGAATATCTAGTAAGTAATTCTAGAATACCATGTCATATTAAGTCCATAGTAAAAGTAAAAATGACAGAATATAGAGAAAAAATACTTTTAAAATATTGACCACTCAAAAGGACAACTCAGATGCAAAATGTAAATAGATACTTGTGTAAAATATCACACAGTATTATAGCACTCCTTTAAAAAGAATTTGCAATCTTTCCCAAATGTGTTCTCTCCAGATACTGGAGGAAATCAACCCCTCTTAATTATAGGAATTTAAATCTATTGTATCTGGAAGGTACCACATAAATAAGTAATTATTAAAAAAAACATGAAGCTTGCCTCTGCTAACATATTTCCATGTTATATTTTAAATCTGTTTTGCTAACCTAGTTAGTATTTGCATGTTATATCACTAGAAAAAAGTAAGCTAATCCACAAAGTAAAAAAAAAAACAGAAAAGACAGTGGTAAACCAATTACATAACTGTAACCTATATGGAGCCAGTTTGGTGTAGTGGTTAAGGCATCAGGCTAGAAACCAGGAAACTGGGAGTTCTAGTCCTGCCTTGGGCACCTTTAAAGCCAGCTGGGTGATCTTGGGCCAGTCTCTCTCTCTCAGCCCTAGGAAGGAGGCAAGGACCACTTTAAAAAAACTGCAGGGACTAGTCCAGGCAGTC